TTCTGGCAATTCCCTTAACCAATAACGTACTTGTTGACGGAAAGAATCAAATGCCATGGATTTAACTTTGATCCCAAGATCTTTAAAAAAATAATCATATCTGGGATTTCTTTTAAATAATCAATCCCATTAATATACTGTGGTATTAAAGGTTTTTTCATTGTGTTCACTAAACTTTGCAATTTTTCATCTTGTGTTTTATACACATGTTTAACTTTCGGAGGTTTTGATATCATTGGGCTATGAGACATTGATGAAAAATAAAGATTGTTATAAACACTCAATTATTAAACGTGTATTTTTGATTTTATTTGAAACTTTAGAATATATTTCAACAAAAATAGTTGTGTTAATTATTGATTGTTGTTTTTAACAATAAAATTGATTTTGTTAATTATTATGTGATTGTTTAAATAATTTTGGTGTTATTTTGATTATTTTGCTTCGATGGATTTGTTTTTTATTTTGCGATGAAATTTTATCGCATTGTTGTTTAGTTTTTTTTACAAAGTTTATGTTTTTTTTATAAAAATAAAATATTAAAAATTATGATAATAAATAACTTTAATTTTAAATTTTATTTTTGAATGATTTATTTTAATATTTAAATTACTAATTATTTCTTTAAATAATTTTGCCCAAAATGGTCAAAAACAGTTATTTGGAATAATTTAATAATATTTTTATTATAAATTATTAAATATTTATTCTATATAGTATTATGAATAGTTTTTGAAATAAATTATTATTATATCATAATAAAATCACATTTATATATTTTTGTTTGTTTTAATAAACCATGTTATATTATTAATAGCTATTGTTTAAATTATACAAACTAAATTATTAAAATATTAAATCATGATAGTTTATCAATGATTTAATTTATATAACACATAACGAACACTTCATTTTGTAATTCTTTGGCTTCGTGTTAAGTTAGTGCCTTAGCGACTGCAAGGTTTACTGATAAGAGTTTGCATGTATTAAGTTATCAAATTTTTATTTTTTTTTCGAGACATTTTTTATTATTTAATAGTATTTTTATTAAATACAATAGTTATTTGTTTTTTGATTATCAACAATTGGTCTAAAAACCCAAAATATAGCGTGATATACTTGATAATAAAAACACTTAAAATCTATATTAATACACAAGATACTCTTATAATAAATAATCTTTTATTTTTATAATAATGGTATTTCAAAGACTTGCCCAAGCGCTCTTCAGTTGTGTTTGCATTGACTGTTTGTGCATTGAATTGCGTATTAAGTATCAATTAAGTCATTTTTTCAACACTTAACTAGAATTTTTTAATAAAATGCACTTTTGTGCAAGTCTTTATTACGGCGGAAAAAACCGATGTTTTACCATTTTATATAAAGTTTTGCTTAAAATTGGACATTATTTGCGTTTTGCCGAGTTGAAATTTAAAAA